CAAATTGTGTCTACACCTAACAACCATAAAGAGAGTTTTTCTCTACAATTTGTCCCAAATGTAGTCTTTCAGGTCTTGCAGTTGCTGACATATTGAACAAATGAATGAGGAAAATATTAAATATGGAACAAGCGATATGTTTTGTTGTCTCAAAATGAATTCCAGCTTTTAGGAATTATGTGAAAGTAAGCAAACTCATCTTTTCATTTAAAAAATGTTTTAAATCTGATTTTGCTTTTTGTTTGTTCCCAATGAAACAGATTTATTTTATAAAGTTTACAGTTGCATTAATTTAATGTGATACATTTTAATTCATAAAAGTGCTATAATTGTTTCTTGACCAATCCTAGTTTACTCATGAAGGCAGAACTTTTCCACACAAATTAATTCATTATTTTAGGGGACTGTCATCATGTTAGTTGTGAAGTTTAAAGGAGGATTTTTTTCTGCCCTTTACTTTTCACAATAATTAACAAAATAACTTATCATATTCTGCAAAGAATGCAAAAGTACAGTGGGTTTCCTTTTGGATCAGCAACTTTGACACATTACTATAAGGACATACACACACAGTAGTAATAAATTTCTTCCATGTTAGCAGCATTTTTTTTTTTTGGTAACAAACCTCATTACAGTGAAAAAAATAGGTTTCACAAAGACTTTTCAGCAGGAAGCTTAAAATACAATTACATGACATATTTTGCAGATAACAGCAGATCGGAGAGCAATGAACAAATGCTCATGATATATCTCTTACAAAGCCCACACTCACCTCTTTTAATGCCTCCTTAATATTATCAAAACATCCAGAGCATTAAATGGGCTGCATTTACTAAAAGCAAAATAGCCGCTTACTGTTCACCAAGCATATTTTTTTTTTCACCAATATATTCTATTAATTAGCACTTTAAGTGCTGGCTTAGCTTCCCAAGCCCAGAATAAATTAAAATAAAAAATATTTCATTTCTGATCCTTGCATGCAGATCTACATAAACAGAGTTCTCTTACCCATTGGGATTAGCAATCTTTCAGTGGTGGGGACTGAAGTGTATGTATATAAAGGACACACATTAAGAACAAGCTCACCCATTGTGGCAAGTGGGGGGAGAGGGGGGCAAGTGAAGGGAAAGTAAGAGCTGAAGAAAAAGCAAGGGGTTGCACCAACAAATGGAATTTGGAGTAATTTTTAATATATTACTTTATACTAATCAATATTAAAGTTAATATTTGTAGGACCAGAACAAATACCTATCTAAACTTGGATCCAATTTCCTGCAATGATCAATCAATCACTTCTGGAAACCCACAGGCAAGATATGATGGCTAAATGTTCTCATGTATTAATCCTTGATTTGTTTAACCATAGTTTCTTGAATCAGTCATGGTGACTGTATTTATTCAGAATATTAAGCAATAAACTAGGTATGAAAATATGGCCTTTAGGGCCCCTAGAGATGCCTCTCACAGAGTGGAAGAGTCTCCTATAGTTTGGGGGTTGGGATTTAAGAAGAAAATGAGTGCCCGATCATCCCTCAGCCCTAAGATGGAGGCAAAGGCAAACTATTTCTGAGAAACCTTGTCAAGAAAACTGCCGGGGCTTCTCCATGCAGTCACTAAGAATCTGACATGGTCAACCAGAAGGAGAAAAAAAAAATCCTTGCAGATGCCCATCTAATTTCAATTTTTAAAAAAACTCTGAAACCCCACCCTCCCCAAGCCCTAATGTTCAACAGCAGGGGTGGGCAACCATGACCACTTTATAACCTGTGGCCTTCAACTCCCAGCATTCCTGAGCTAGCCATATGGCTCAGTAATTCTGGGAGTTGAAGTCCACAGGTCGTAAAGGGACTGTAGCTTGCCCACCCTTCCTCAACAGGCTTCACACAGTGCAATGCAACCCTCAGATTTGTGTTACTGTGCCATAAGGTTTATAAAGCATATTGGCTGCATTCACACACTGCAGTAAAGCATACCGAAATAAATGAGTGCAACTCATGGTCCCCAGTAGCTGGAATCTAAGGACAGGCTGTTTCCAACCCTGCAAAACTATCATAACTAGTAGATTTCGGGGGGGGTGGGGGGAGAAGAGAAAGAAAAAGATATTATATTGTATGGAGCTGAAGTGAGAATAATATTTTAAAAGAGATCCCTTTTTGTATTTGCTCGCTACTAACCCAAAACAGTGTCAGGAATATTGCAGGAGAATGAGAAATCCCAGAGGGACCTTTTTCCACCATAGGAGTATGATGGGTTTGTGTTAGCACGAAAGGGTTCCTGATTTCCAGTCTGTGCATGCCAGTCTTAGACAAAAGGGCTGCTACCTTTGAGGAATGAAGAATGTTCAGACAAGTTTTTATTTTCCTGGTAAGAACTGCCCCACATTTTCTAAGGCAGAAAAAATAATTTTGATTTTGACTGCAGCTAAGTTTGGTTATTCAGTGTCAGCTTTGCTACCTTTCTTTCTTTCTTTCTTTCTTTCTTTCTTTCTTTCTTTCTTTCTTTCTTTCTTTCTTTCTTTCTTTCTTTCTTTCTTTCTTTCTTTCTCTAGGATAGATAGATAGATAGATAGATAGATAAATAGATAGATAGACAGACAGACAGACAGACAGACAGACAGACAGACAGACAGACAGACAGACAGACAGATAGATAGATAAAGATAAATAGAGATAAATATAGATAGAAGATAGACAGGCAGGCAGGCAGGCAGATATGACCATTTGCTATATATGAATGCCAACGAGGCCGTCTTTCTGAAAGAGCAGAGAAAGACATGTTTGCACTTGCTTGCTGTTACAGAAATGACAGCCAGCATTTTCCCGGGTGGCAAAGAAACAGACTTGGAAAACCACAGTCAGAAACCATCTTCTCAAAGACATTTTAACAACCCCAGACAGCTCTATGCCCGCCGGCTTGGTTAAACCAAGCATCTGCCTGTGCAACCTACTTGTACCATTAAAAAAAAGCAATGCTGTTTTATAATAATGAGCACCATTCCGTTATTTGGGAGAGGGGGGGGGCGACTGTTTAGTACCATGGCACATTAAAACTGAATATAGTATACAAGACAAAAAGTCTTATTTTGCAGACATGAGAAATGGGATTAGATTACCAGTTGCAGCTCCGGGGTGACATTATTTCTAATCTGAGACAATCCTGAGCCTTTTGGAGTGATTTTTTTAGGACTCTAAAGTAATGGAAAGGAAGGAAGGGTTCTGGGTCAAGCAGTTGTGCTGTAGGCCCCATGACAGTGCCACAAAGTTTTTTTCTCTGAAATCCTAGAATGGGTGCAAATTGCTGAAGACAGTACTGGCAGGGTTCATTCCTCATGGTTATATTATAGTTTTTGTTTTTTGTTTTTAAAAAAAAGCCCTTTGCAGTTCAAGCATTGCACTAAGGTCCACAACTCAGAGTTCTGAGTTTGCACAACATATTCAACCCAGGCAAAAATCACTATTATGGCTTCCTGTGTCATCTCAATTACTACTGAGATGATAGGTTGGCAGGTAGGTAGGTAGGCAGACAGTCAGACATAGAATCTGCCTAATTGAAAGGCAGCTTTCTATATTTATAGAAGACCATATCTATTCCACTGTAAACATTAACTGAGCAATTAAAACCAGAATCTTGGAGAGAATTGTTTCCAAACATTTAGCTTGTCCCACAAGTTAATATTCATCTATATCCATCAGTGTAGTATCTTATAAATACAAGCCACGAAGTGGACATGTACCTCTCTCACTCTTCATACAGTACACCCACCCACCCATGTGCATGCACACACACAAAACCACATACAGAAACACAGACACACAAAGATTTCTTACATAGAAATTATGCTTTTCATTGTTGGAAACAATGAAATTATCTCTCAGAGACAATTAACTTTAGGTTTCTGCTGTGTTATTAAAATGTACACCAAAAGAGGTCCATGCGTGAATTAAGATCACTCTTGCTTTCTATTCATAACCACAATAAGGAGCATCGGCTTCCATTTCTTGAGTCTGAGCTTCAGGTTTCAATTCATCCTTTAAGAAGCAATAAAGATGCTCCTGCTCCTCTGTGAAGAAGTAAGGGAGAAATGGTTGCTGTAAATCCGCTCTCTGTTGTGTTCAGTCTTCACTGAATGCATCTACTCTGAAAAGAAGAGAAAGAAGTTTTATTGAATTGCTCGCATGCTTAACACTCTGCCGTGTTAAGGTGCTTTATTCAGATGGATGCCGAGAAACATTTTTATATTCATTTCCACATGTTTGTTGAATTTATCACAAACCAAGGGATTTCATTAAATTATAATTTACCACAAATTATATAAGGGTCTTGTTATCTTGACTGCAAACCAGAATATGTGTGGAGACTGTTACTTTAGAATGGAAACTTTTCCCACTTCCCATGGTCCATGCTATGTCCACAGCTCAAGAGCCTTCAGATCTAATACAAATTAGTATTCTTCCACTACTGTACATTATAGCCAAATAGTTTCTTTAACCAGATTTTCCCAACATTCTAAGCCATGACCTAGTGAGCATAATATTAGGAGATCTGCTCACTTCACCCATGCATCATCAGATCTGAGTAGAAGAGTTAGTCAGTGTTAAACTTCTTCTTTGAACACAGCACCTGCCACAAACAAGCCACTCTGTTATCTCCACTGCTCCTCAGTGAAAGGGGTTCATGATTATACTTCTGAAATCAAAGCAACAACAAAAAATCACATCCAATTCCTCTGTCCATATTCTCTTTCTTTATTTCTACCTATTTCTACTTAACTATAAATAATTGAAGTTTGTACTATAAACAATTGCAGCTTATACTATATATTTACACAGTTCTTATTTTGAACAGTATACATGTGTTATACTGCTTGTACTCTATACCCTAATAATAATCACATCAATTCCCTTTGATCGTCATCAACACGATCAAAGAAAGGACACAGGACTGCAACTCCTGTGTCATGCGTACGCAGTGGATGCACTTTTAGAAAAAGTCGATAAAATATTTTATAAAAATATAATAAACTAATAATAAGAGGAGCAAATAAACCTATAAATACATTGCACTTGGCATTGTACAAATCATGGTAGAAAAGCTCAAGATCCACCCATCGTACTGTGAGAATCAGATATGTATACCAAGCCCATATTTTCATTACACTTCTATCACAGTAAGTAAATTGCCTTCATTCTTTTGAGTTGCTGGAAAAACAACTTTCCCAGAAGTGCCCAATATTTCCCAATTGCTCTCTTCATCAGCCTAAGATCCAGTGTTAAGGTGGTGGACCTTGACCCAAAACTCCCAGGTTCTGGTCCATTCTGAATCATGAAGGTTTCATTGACTAATTTTAGGCAGATAGTCAGCCCACCTCCTTCACAGAGTTGTGGTCCTGAGAAAGATGTGGGGAGGGGGAAGAAATGCTACTTGGGCTGCCATGAGCTCTCGAAGGAGAGAGATCTAACAAGTAAATGAATATACAAAGACAGATATCAGATAATGCTATGGAAACCAACAGAATAGAAAGTGTTAGAGAAAGGCTTTAATTTATCTTTACAGGCAGCCTTTTCTTATAAAATGTAATTTCTTTCTTTAAAACCGAAACAAACCCTGAAGGCTTTATTTATGTCAATCTCATTAATGAATATCCCTAGAACACACAGATTTACAGTTTTGCCAGTATCTGTTTGATTTATTCATGCTCACAAGAAAGCCCCATAAAAAAAATTAAGTGGTAAATATAAAAAGTTCACGATTAAGCAAGTGCTGATCCATTAAGAGAGCAACTTTTGAGAAGAAGCTATTTTCTCAGAAACCATAGCATACAGGAGGATACAGGTAGCCCTCGACTTATAACAGTTCATTTAGTGACCAGTCAAAGTTATAACAGCACTGAAAAAAGTGACATGATCATTTTTTACCCTTATGACTGTTGCAGCATCCCCACGGTCATGTGATCAAAATTCAGACACTTGGCAGCTGAGTCATATTTAAGATGGTTGCAGTCTCTGGGGTCATGTGATTGCCTTTTGCAACCTTCTGACAAGCAAAGTCAATGGGGGAAGCCAGATTCACTTAACAATCATGTTACTAATTTAACAACTGCAGTGATTCACGTAACAATTGTGGCAAGAAAGGTCATAAAAAGACACACTTAGCAATAGAAATTTTGGGCTCAGTTGTGGTCATATGTCAAAGGCTAACCTGTATCTGCCCAGACATAAACACTGCTAAGTTTCCCACTTTCCTTTTTCAAAGGTGGCACACCCCACATTGCTCATCTTCAAGCAATACTAGGTAACTATACAAGCCAACTCCTTCCACATCATAAAGTTAAAGACTTTTTTTCAGGTCAAAGCCAGATGAATGTAGGAAGAGCTTGTCTTTTGTTCTCAGTGTGATTGTCTCCTTTGTCCCTTCAGTTTTTGAAAGAAAATGTTTAGGCCACAACACAAGAATCCACTGAACTTGAGTAGTGAAAAGGCAGAATGAAGTGAGCCTGGAGTAGGTGGAGCCAGCACCCACTAATTCTTTGTGGATAATTGCTGCCAGACAGAATTTAGAAGGTATTGGCAAGAAAGCTGCTTTAACTACTAGTTAATAGCTCCCTTGCAGATAGAAACATAGCATCCACTGGATGAGATATGCCTGAATTTCTGCATTTATAGATTCCATTTCCAGCAGACACAACAAGAAAACGTCTCCTGGCCTAACTCACCAGTATTCAATGTAAAGACAGTGTATACCAGCTGAATACATAATAGTGATTACAAACTTTAAACAGTGATATGTTTGATGAGATCCTGAAAAAAGAAAGGCGAGGAGTTTGAAGACCAAAGGCAATATATGAATATGTGAAAAGAAGGATGGTCTGCAATTATAAGAAGCTATAATGATGTAGAGTGAATGTTGTGCAATACTTTAGCTATACAGCAGAAACTTGATTTAGTATATTTTGAATTCAGTGGCAGAAATTCTTGTTATATTTATGTTATTACAGAACATAACAGGAATTTCTTCCAATATCATCTGTTGCATCTGTGGATGGTGTAGTCTCCAACTTAATGGACTATTGGGAATAATGGGCAATACCTCCCTCCAGTTGATCTGTTAACACAGAGATTTATGTTGTTTTCTTTTTTTCTGTCTCATGTCTTTAACCCTATTTCCCATTCCTTTCTGGTTTTTTTCTTAAAACCCCATGGAGAATAGTGGCAATTACACACACACACACACACACACACACACACACACACACACACACACATCAAAAAGTCATAAAAATAAACCCAAGGGAAACAGGATAATAGTAGTATTTTCTCCTGACTGGCTCAAGGTTGACTCAGCCTTCCATCCTTCCAAGGTCGGTAAAATGAGGACCCAGATTGTTGGGGATAATATGTTAACTCTGTAAACTGCTTGGAGAGGGCTGTAAAGCACTGTGAAGCGGTATATAAGTCTAAGTGCTAATTGCTATTCTTCACTGTTTGACAAATCAATAGAAACCATTGGCTTTCCAAATGTAACTCACCAGTTGATAAACAGTAATTGTAACACAACTTAAAAGTCAGTTGCTAGATAAAAATACATTAGCCCTCAATTATGATCACAATTAAGCCCAATATTTCTGTTGCTAACCAAGACATTTGTTAAGTGAGTTTGGCTCCATTTTACGACTTTTCTTGCCACAGTTGTTAAATGAATCACTGCAGTTGTTGAGTTGGTGATATGGTTGTTATGGGAATCTGGCTTTCCCATTGACTTTGCTTGTCAGTAGTTTGCAAAAGGTGATCACATGACCCCAGGACATTGCAACCATCAGAAATACAAGTCAGTTGCCAAGCATCTGAATTCTGATAACGTAACCATGGGGATGCTGCAATGGTCTGAAATGTGGAAAAAATGGTCATAAGTCACATTTTTCAGTACTGTTGTAACTTTGAATGGTCACTAAATATATGGCGGTAAGTCAAGGATAACCTATATAGCATTGATGTGATGTTAAGTATAATTGAATAGACTGGGATTGAGTAGTGGCTCACTCTAATCACCTTCTGGTCCTTTCCTCATTGTTGAGATGAAGTGCCATCCTCCCATTCTTTAGGTGGCAGAAAACTGTGCTGGTTTGAAATCTTCTCCTATTTCCAGTCCCTCTTCTTCTATGTGTTGTGAAGCTTTGATGAATTGTAGGGAGCCATGGGGGTGACCTTGGAGAAAGCATCCCAAGGAGAGATTTTCTGAACAATTAATCAGTGGAACAACTTGCCTCCAGAACTTGTGGGTGCTCCAATATTGGAGATTTTTAAGAAGAGACTGGACAGCCACCTGTCCCTGAGCAGAGGGTTGGACTTAGAAGACCTCCAAGGTCTCTTCCAACTCTGTTATTCAGTAATTCTGCATCCAGAAGACAACATGACAGCAACAAGTACTAAAGCTGCATTGCACCCAGGAAGAAAGGAAAGTGCTACAAAAACTCTCAGACTGGCTACCCTATAATTTCCCTAGGGTACAAGTAAAAGGGAGGGATGGGAAAAAGCAGGCAGACTTCTCAGCAAAGTATAGTTGTACTCTACTTCCTGTAGAGTCATACCTTGTACTGCTGACACAAATGTCCTGATTTTGGGTGAGCAACACAGGTTGAACAAAGTAACTTGTTGAGTTTCTCCTACCCCAAACTCACTCATAGGCTGGAATGAGAAAAAGCTTCATGAGGGACCAAGGCAGAAAAAAGATGCCGGAAGTTTTGGGGGCCAGAGTTAGGGGCATATGGGGATACAAACTATCTATACGAACCATGCTTTATCTGTTGGCATGATAGGTGTAACTGTATTTTGGCTCAATATGACTCTATAGAAATGTTTTCTTATTGCATCAGTTGGGGGGGGTTTCCTTGTGATTCTCCAGAATTTGTTGGTTTCTACCCACATCCCTGTCATATTTAATGATTTACTGGGCGAGAGGGAAGATGGGGGTTCTAACCATATTTAGAGGGAATCACATCTCCATCTTTGTCCTATATAAAAATTGCAAGTTTGATCTATCATAGCATTTAGTACCACGAAAAAATACTTTGTTCTGTTAGTTTAAAGAATTACTGCTACAAGTTTAAATTAATTATACAATTATTATACAAGCAGCATAGA